ATTTCATCATTCTTTTTTATCTTATTCTCTATGTTTCTTGAATTTAGGTAGTCTAGCCCATTTTTCTTTTTATTGATATTAATTGACAGCAATGACTTTAATTCAACAGCTAAGGGATGCTCATTTGAATTAATATGTCTTATTTCAGTTTTATTCTTCGTCTTTCGGCATCTTAAATCTGAGTCATTACAATTATTATTATTATTATTATTTACTTCAGAGCTATTTTGTTTATCTGTGATTGATATTTCTTTCTTTCCCATTTGCTTTAAACTGCTATTTTGATTTTTCAGCCAATAATAACTATAATTATCACATTTTTTTTTGCTTTTTTCCGCTTTATTATTAAACTGCAAATCAAAGTTTAATATTTGTTTACTTATTATTTCTAAATGATTTTCATCTTTAAGATTTTGAATACATGGTAGCAAAGGAATACACTCTGAAGATTTAACACTAATGCCTCTTAATTTAGAGCACATACCGTTTAAATTGTTTGCATTAATTTGAGTTTCATCCAACAAAATATCAATAATTGTTGACGGATAATATTCCTTGTTAACTTTTACTCCACAGCATACAGATACAACTGTTCCAACTGTTCCAAAGGGCAACAATCCATCATTTGTATTTATATAAACTACCCTAGTCCCCAAAGGGTACCCAAATCTTGAAATTAATTTATTTATGCCAGAGTTAAACTGATTCTCTGACTGATAAAAATGCTCATTCCTACATAATTTCGACAAATCTATATATTTATCATTTGTCTCGATTTGTGAATTTAGAATTAGTCTTTCCAATCTAGAAATTGTTGAAGGAAGCATTGTTGCTGAATTAGAACGTGAAGATAAAAATGGTAAATTTCTATATAATTTACCCTTAATTATCTTTATCATTACATTAAATTTGAAGTCTTGATCTTTTGAATCAATCAAATCCGAGAAAATATCCTTGACATGTATTTTCTTTAAGTTAAATACGTTTTCAACCTTTTCATTGTTATTGTCAATATTAAATGTGTTTGAGCAAATATTTTTTCCTTCAGAATTTATTATGTGTTCATCTAACTCTCCCTGGTCCAATAATACCAAACTTTTAAAAATAGCCAAAACAAAACAAGGGAAAAGGTCTAAATATTCTAATATTGATTTTATTGCTTCGTTGCTAACAATAGGAGTCCCAAGTTCCACATTAGTATTCGATGATGTAATAAATGAATTTTCATCTACGAATTTACTATATAAAGGTAAATAAAGCTTATTTTTTAATTTATTTTCAAATTTAAAAAGATTCATCGATATTTCTTGCAAAGTACTATCGTTGCACTTCACTTGAATTGGACCAATAATTAGTTTCTTAAGAAATAAGGTTGAAAAGCGCATATACTCAAGTGATTTAGTAGCATCTAATCCGCATTTTGTGTTTAAGCAATTTAACAAGGGTTTGTATATTATTTTTGCAACATCCTCAATAGAAAACCATTGTATTGAAGATAAGTCTTCCAAAGCATATTCAAAAATTCTCTTTTGAAGTTGTTCCACTTTATTCTTGTTTTTTGGAATTCGAAATAGTACTAATCTTTGAGCTTCATCTACAATTGTGCCGATATATCCATAGTTTGGATTTTGTTTATTAATGCAAAGGAGCTTTTCACCTAAATTTATTTTACTAATCTGCTTAAAACGTTCAGCCTCACTCTCTTTTAAATCTGAATACAATAATATTAGTGGTAGCAAATAGTGTTTTGATATTTTTGAGAAGTTAAATTCAACCTTGCCACTCTCAGTAATGTAACTGCTCTCAGCAACTCTAGCCTCAACAAGACAATTTACTGGATCAGATATATCCTTCAGTTCAGCATCAAAATCTTTCAAGTCTAAAACTTCTTTGCAATTAACCAACTTTGAAATGGAAAGCAATTCTTCATCAATATTCATTGAATTTGAGGGGGAAAGAACAATTCCTCGTTTCTTTAGAAGTGAATTTTCATTAAATAATAAACGAATAAACTCTTTAGGATTGTTGTTAGGTTCAATAATAGGTTTTGTCAGCAGCTTCGGTCTTAGAATATATCTCAAAGTTTTTATTGAAACAAGCTCAGCAACCTTCATTCTAGGATAGTCAACCAATATTCTTATACCTGGATTTCTTGTATTAATGGAAGGTAGAAAGAGATTATTTAAAAACTCCTTTGAAATATGAGATGAAGATATTGAGGAAAAAATTGATTCATTACTACTTTCAGTCCCAAAAACACTTATCCCAGAACTATAATAAATTCTATAAGGAATTCTGCAAAGGTTTGGGAACCAATCGAAAGGTAATATTGTATTATCTAGTAAATAATTAGGGAAGTTTGATACACCGTCAGGGAATGCCGGATGATAAAACGATTTTGAAACTACCTTCGAGTTAGTAATGGAAGGTAAGTATAATTTCACTGTGCTTTCAATTTTAGGAGTAGGAAATGCATAGTTATCCAAATAGAAAATAAATGGTCTCCCTTCCTGATTTCTGGCTTTATCTTCGGTATCTAAAAACTCCGAACTATTGATAATTGATGAATGAGTATTTGTATTAGCATCAATTAAATTTTCTAATTCACTTGTACTTAAATAAAATTTATACCGATTTTTCAGTTCATATTCAAAATTAGTCTTTATTTTGATTTCAAAATTTCTAAAATCAGAGTCATAAAAACCACATTTTGAAAGAACATATGTAATTGAATCCAATAGAAGGAACTCATCAATAAAAGGAATTAATGTTACGCCACCCCAAGGAACCTTGACGCCTTCCATATCAACTTCAAAGTTAGCCGGATAAAAACTCAATAATGGTGAGTTTGGATTAGTAAACAGCTTCCTAAATGGCTTTGGTAAAAGATCCTTGCTATTTGAAGGAAGAACCCCCATTAGTTGCTCAAACGGTTGCAATGGATTTCCTTTAATAAACCGAAATGCTAACCCATTAAGCTCGATTTCCTCCGAATACATTGTGTGAACAAACATCAATTTAGAAGAACCATATTTAACAATATCATCTCTACTCAATGTTGAAATACTCTTATTTTGTAGCCAACAACTTAAAATAATGGCAATATCACATGCAAATGGCGCATACCTATAAGGGTAATACCATCTCCATGAAGGAACACCTCTAAAATAATAATAGCTGACCCATTGCAAACCCTCAAGGTAACAAAAAACAATATCTTCAATAGAATTAGTTGTTATCCTATTGGAATTCGTGTTAGATTTAATATTTGCTTGATTTTGAACATTTGAATTTTCTGGGAAAAACTTATCGATATTTATTGCCATTTTTACAAAGTAATATCTCCAACGCATAACTTCAAAATTTTCGGGTCTAGTTTCTTGCCACTTTGCCCTAAATTTATCTTGTTCTATAGAGTCTGATTTCATAAACCTTGGAACACCTATTGAATCTGAACTAATTTTGTTTTGGTCTGGGATTACCTTTTTCCAATAATCTGGATTAGAAATACGTTTTTCAGCTTCTTCTTTCTCCGAAATAATATGCCAAATTAGAAACCGTAACAAATTTACATAATTGATTCTACCACAATCTTCGAGTATCCATGGAGAACTACTCAACTTCATTAAAAAAAAATGAGCCAAATACTTTCTATAACTACTTATTATCCTTGCTAGTCCTTGATCAACAGTGTGGAATGGGATATGAGGGAGAAAATCATTTCCAACAATGAAGCCTAAGATAATAAAATCGTCAATAAGGCGTTCTCCATCTATTAAAACGTTATCGAAAATACTAATTTGATCCTGTGAATCATTTTTCAGTCCAAACTTGTATCCGAAACATAAATTTAACTCCTCAACACTTAAATTTCTAGGATTTAAATCATTTATAATATAATCTCTTAAAATAGAGATATGCAGAAATTGAAACCTTTCCTTTGTGCAAACCGTTCTACTCTCATAATTTCTTGAACTTGAAAATTTTATTTCTTCCCTCAACAAAGAAAAATGTGGTTCATGAGAAGCAAGAGAAAGCATTATCAAATCAGCATCAAGGCCATACAAGCAATGAGTCGTGTTGTTATTATAGTCTCTTTGGGATTTAATACAACGTATGAAATCCATTATTTTATGTTCGCCTTCACCAGGTACGTCAGCTCCACTTAAAACAACTTCTAAATGTTTCCATAATGGATCAGTATGTATTTGATGGTAAATAAAAAATTCCAGTTGTCTCCGCAACTCATGCATAAAAGTCGTACCAGGAGTTATACAATTCGAATCAAAAACGTTATTTTGTGTTGTATCAATAGAATTATTTTTCTCCATTTTCTTTAGAAACTCTGAATCCCTTGCAGACCTAAATCTTCTACTTCTTTGTTGATTCATTTTAGCTCTAGGAGCAACCCCATCAACTGCAATATAAAGTAATTTCCTAGGTTTAGCTATGTATACCAACTTATTTATATATCTAAAAATAGCAGCCCAAATTTCTGGAGACCCTTTTTCAGATAAATTAATCCCATTACTTGGAGTGCGCATTTCACTAGAATTCACACTATTGTGAGCAATTCCATTTACATCCAAATATAAATTATCAAATGGTGGTATAATTCCATCTGATATTTCCTCATTAATTTGAGGATACCTTTCTGATATCCATCTATAGAATCTCGAGATTCCCATTTTGAAACTAACATTTATAAATAACTTAAAAGAAAAAAATTAAATCCTCCCGCCAAATCAAATTTCTGTCTAATTGATTTTTTTTCTTAGATCAACTCAAAAACGATCAAAATAAGAATATGCTAAAAATCTAAGAACGTTAGATACAATACCATCTTTTAGTTGTATTTTAATAAAATTTTAACATTTTTTAATAGAATAGATTTTAGAAATTATTAATCCTCTTAAGTATGAAATAAGAAACACATTGAATATATGAAACCCTTTTCTATGTAAGAAAGCGACTTGGCAAACGAAACTCGGAGTTGTAGAGGTGGGATGGCCGAGCGGTCTAAGGCGCTAGTTCGAGGTGCTAGTTTTCGCGGGTTCGAATCCCGTTCCCATCACTTTTTGACACTGGAAAACAAAGAAAAGTTAAAATTCTATCAGATTAAACTATCAAAGTAGTTTGGCCTTTTCTAGATAATTTTTTGATAATAGATGTTTTTAGCGATAATAAAATTATTATTCATTGAAATTCAGATTTATGCAGCGTTACAAGTTGGCCCAATACATGTTGTTTCATATGACACAATTGGGGTCGTTATAACTTTCTTGACGCAACCTGTACTAGTTTTTTCTGTATTGTCTGGGCATCTACTATCTGGTTTTGTTACCAAAACGCACTCCTTATTGTCAAACAAAGTATATGGATCATTGCATGTTAATGAGAATGGAGCATATTCAACAATATAGCATGTGCCATCTTGATCGGTAACATACCCAGATGGACAACTGGAAACTACTGGTGTAGATTCTATCTTTTCACAACCACCGGATGGGCACACCTTAGGTGCGAATCTTGCGCATCTATCACCCAATAGTTGACTATCAGCTGTACAGCTTAATGAATATGGAGCAAAAACTTCTCTTGAACAAACAGTTGTCCTCACAATGCTTACTTCCTGAGTAACTGCATGATGATGATGATGATGTCCTAGAGCGTGATGATGTCCAGAACTATGATGTGGATGATTTGAAGCTGTTCCTAAAGACCTTCTGGTTCCTTGGGCAACTCCAGCCTCCATTGTGTAACCCGGTGGGCAAACAAGCTCTGGTGGGAATGTTCTTATTCTCTCGCAATCGCCATTTGGACAGACTTTATCTGCATATTTTGCGCACTTATCGCTGATAACTATTAATCCAGGTGGGCATGCCAATTCATAATCTGCATATTCATTAGCAATACACCTCTGTCCACTTCTCTCAAAGTTTTGAGGACAAGAGAGAATTGGTGGTATATAACTGATTCTTTCACAATTGTTGTTTGGACAAACCTTTGCTGTTGATTGTTGGCACATATCTCCCAATAATCTGAATCCATCTGGACATTGTAGTGCATATGGCTCATAAACATTTCTCATACATTGACTTGCTCCACTGGCTTTATGACCATGGGATCTGATTGCAACACCAGCCTGAGGTCTATAATATCCAGGTGGGCACTCCATCGTTGGTGGTGAACGAATGAGTTGTTCGCAGTTTCCATCTGGGCAAACTTTAACAGTATGGATCGCGCATTTATCTCCGATTATTGAATAATTATCTGGACAAGAAAGGTCATAAGGTGTATATATTTGTTTTGTACACTCTTGTAATAACTGGTTTCCATGTCCATGTCCATGTCCTGCATGATCTGAATGATGATTTGATTGTGGTCTAGTAAATCCAGGTGGGCATACCATATTGGCAGGTTTACTTATCAATCTCTCGCAGTTACCATTTGGACAGATTTTATTTGTAAACAATGCACATCTATCCCCTAATAACACGAACCCTGATGAACATACTAAACTATACTCTTCAAAAATAGTTCTAACACATTCTGCTGAAGGTGTTGAATAATGATGTGTTCCGGCGGTATGCTTGCTTGAAATTGCTGTTTGAATTCCGTTGGCATTTCTGTAACCTTGTGGACATGAAAGAGTTGGTGGAACGACGACTTGTTTTCTGCAGTCACCTTGTAGACAAATTTTTTCTGTTTTTTCGATACATTTGTCGCCATCTAAAATAAATGGAGATTCGCATTTTAAAATATAAGGTACTGAAATTGTCTTAATGCACTCAGGGGAAGCTAGATTTCTGTGATGATGATGATGATGATGATGATGTCCTTGATAAATTGTGCCGGTTTGGTAAACTGGAGTTGGATAAGTTGTTAAAATTTCCTGTGTTTGATGAATTACTTGTGGCTGATAATTTACTTGTCTTTGTTGAATTACTTGTGGTTGGTTAATAGTTTGTGGTTGGACGGGAACAGAAACATTTGGATGGTTAATATGAGAATGGCTTATTGGCTGAATTGGTTTAGATGATGAGAATCCTGGAGGGCATACTAATTCAGCAGGCTCATTATATATACGCTCGCAATTACCATTTGGACATATTTTATCCGAATATGTAACACATTTATCCGCTACAAGTCTTGATCCAACAGGACAGATAAGATTATATGGAGCATGGTCTGCATGGATGCATTTCATTTGCTGAATAGGAGCAACAACTGGAACTGGTTGTGGTGGCTGAGAAATTACAGGAGTATATTTATGTCCATGAGAATATCCCTTTTGAGAAGTAGATTGAACCCCAGCTAAGTGTCTGTGGTGTGGATGAGCAGAAATATTCATAACTTCATCTATTTGGTGATATCCAGGGGGACAAGTTAAAGAAACAGGCGCAGTTACAACTCTTTGGCAACTTTCATTCGGGCAAACTTTTTCTCTTGTGGTAGCGCATTTGTCTCCAACCAATGCATATCCTGCAGGGCATGCAAGATCATATGGTGAATATTTGTTAACTTGACATTGAGATCCTACATCTACAGAACCTGGCGGACATTTTAAAGTAGGTGGAGTTTTTACAAACTTAGCACACTCTTTTGATCTTGTTCCATCTTGACAAATTGCTTCTAATGGGTAGTAATTTGTTAATACACATTCTTTTCCTACAAGTTCAGCATTGTTCTCGCAAATAGGCACAGCTGGGACAGAATCAGCTTTTGTACAAGTTTTTGGGGTAATTTTTGGAACATCTTCACAAATTGGCCTTGGAGCCTCTTTATGATGTTGTGTATGTATATTCTGGGTTTGAATTGGTATAACTTGTGAATGTGAATGCCCATGAGAATGACCATGATGATGTCCTGGATTTTGTATCTCAGATGTTTCATAAACTGTTGATGTTTCTTTTGCAGCTGCTAATCTTCTTAGTGCTTTAACATCAGGTGTTTTACACTCTGTAACATAAGTTGTTACTGAACAGTCATATTGGCTTCTTCTAACACATTGTTTACCTGTTTCCAATGAATAACCAGGTGGGCATTCCAAAACAGGCGAACTAATCGATCTCTCTACGCAAACGTCCCCCTCTCTAGTACCAACAGGACAAACGTATTGAAGAGCCCCGGGAACAAGTCTTGTGCACGAGTCTCCATCCAACGCAGAACCTGGAGGACATTCTGGTGTTTTTGGTGAGGTAGTTGTTTGAACACACTGTTGATTTTGTAGAGTGAATCCAGTAGGACATACAGTTGAAGCAGGAGAAAATTGGATACAATCGTCTCCATTTGGTAAAAATCCATCTGGGCAGATAGCATCGATCATTTTTAGTGCAGTACATTGATTTCCTTGAAGTTTATATCCTGGTGGACATTCTGAAACAGGAGGTGCTTCTTTTATTTGCTCGCATTGGGATCCAGAAAGTGTATATCCAGGTGGGCATTCTCTGTTTGGTGCGGAGAAAGAAGCACAATTTGTACCATTATCAATAAAACCAGTTGGACATACCATATTTATCCTTTCAACTTTTTGGCATTGTCCATTTACCAGGTTTGTACCTGGAGGACACTCTGGTTGTGGTGGAGCTTGAGTAGTTTGGGTACATTGTTTTCCAATTAATACAAAACCTGTTGGACACTCCTTTTCTGGTTGAGAAAACTGAACACAGTCTGATCCATTGTCGAGATATCCAGGTGGACAAATGGCATCTTCTAGTTCATATGAAATACAACTGTTATTTTCCAAGGTTGTACCTGGTGGGCATTCTGTTAATCTTGGAGCAGATTCTGTTTTAACACATTGTTTTCCGGAAAGAGAAAATCCTTGGGGGCAAATTTTCTCTGGTGCAGAAAATTGGACACAATCTTCGCCATTATCTACAAACCCTGGTGGACAAATTGTATCAACTCTTTCTATCGATTGACATTGATCATCTTTTAAAATTGTACCTGGTGGGCATTCGAATTCCATGGGAGCATTTACCATTTGAACGCACCTGTTCCCACTCAATGTAAACCCGGGTGGGCATTCCTTTGTGACTGGAGAATATTTTACACAATCTTTTCCATTGTCTAAAAATTCTGGTGGACAGATAGCATCGATTGCTTGGACTGAAATACAGGCATTATCTTGTAATACTGTACCTGGAGGGCAGACAGGTTGAGTTGGAGCAGAACTAGTTTGTATACATTGGAGGCCTTGTAAAATGAAATTTGGTGGGCATTCCTTTGCAGGAGCTACATATAGTACACAATCATCTCCTGAGTCTGTATATCCTGGTGGGCAGACCATATCAATATTTTTAATCACTTTACATTTTCCATTTTCAAATATTGAATTAGGTGGGCATGTCGATTCTAATTCAGCTGATTCTGGTGCCATACATTGTTGTCCTGACAAATTGAATCCAGGAGGACAGATTTTATTTGCAGGGAGATATTGAACACATCTATTTCCTTCTTCAACAAAACCAGAAGGACAAACGGTATCAATTTGTTGAATTAATTTACATGTGCCATTCTCCAGTATAGTGCCTGGAGGACATTCTGGATTAGGAGGAGCTGTGTCTGATTGAACACATTGTTTTCCAGAAAAAACGAATCCTGGGGGACATGATTTTTCAGGCATAGTGAATGCAACACAATCTCTTCCATTATCTACGAAACCAGGGGGACATACTGTATCTATCATATGTTTAGAGATACACTCTGTTCCATGTAATGTAGTACCTGGAGGACAAGATGGTTGTTGAGAAGCGGTTTTAGTAGCAGTACATTGCTTTCCTGATATTTCGTATCCTGGTGGACATTGCTTTAGTGGTGCTGTTACTATTAAACAATGCCCCTCGTGATAGATTGCTGGTTCCTGACAGAAAGGCATAGGAGGAACCTGGATACGTTGGACACAAACTCCATTCTCCATTAAATACCCTGGAGGGCAGCTTTCTAGCGGAGTTTCAACATACGTAGGTACCTGGCCTTTTGTGTGTGGCAAAGGGGAAGCTACACCAGGAATGTTGGGTTTAACCTGAGGCGCACCAAATGCACCAATAATAAACGACAATAATAAAA